CCTACGCGAAAAGGCCCTGTGGAGCATTTCCAAGCTTTGAAGAAAGTGGATGGGGAGCTCCTTTTGGCCGACACGCACCTTGCCAACTCATTCAGGCCTCTCACCGTTGAGGACGAGAAAGCAAAGACACGCTGGACAACATACAAGATTGTTGATGTGGATGGGGAAGGCGGTGGCCAAGTCTCGGGACCTACTACTGCGCCTCCGCCATTCAGCGTGGCCCCCCTCTCGCAGGCGACAGCGCCGCAGCCCGACGGCCTGGCGCCATCGCAGCCGCCCGTCGTGCATGCGCACAATTTCGGCAACCTCCACGATTCGGCCCACAACCGAAAGGTCCACAATTTTCACTACTGGTTGGCGCAGAAGCAGGGTGAGAAAATGACGTCGTCGGGCGGCGCGGCCAGTGGCAGTTCCGCCGTGACTGAGAACCACTTCGACATCGCCTTGATGGTTGACGTGGAGGCGGATGGCGGTGGCCAAGTCTCGGGACCTACTACTGCGCCTCCGCCATTCAGCGCGGTCCCCCTCTCGCAGGCGACAGCGCCGCAGCCCGACGGCCTGGCGCCTTCGCGGCCGCCCGTCGTGCATGCGCGCAATTTCGGCAACCTCCGCGATTCGGCCCACAGCCGCAAGGTCCACAATTTCCACTACTGGTTGGCGCAGAAGCAGGGGGAGGAGATGACGTCGTCGGGTGGCGCGGCCAGTAGCTGTTCCACCGTGACTGAGGACCACCTCGACCCCTTCTTCCACCAGTGGATAGCAACGGGCCGCGCGGCACGCAGCGGGGCCACTCCGCCACCGCCGGTGGACAATCGGGGAGCTGCGGATGTTGACTGCCGCGTGCAGCGCCCCGGCGCCCCCCCGACAACGAGAGAGATGCGTGGGGGAACTTTTCCCGCGAAGAACTTGTCGGATGCCGGCCTTTGTATGACGTGGCAAATTTGCGCGGGGAGTGCGGGCATGGCAGGACATGCTGGGAGACCAACGTCGCGTTGCCGTCGGAGCGGATGGCCTCGCGCAGTGGCGCTCAGGCGGCATGCGGCTGCGGCGCGGACGCGCGCGACCATGCCACAGCGACACAGCTGGCTCCTTTGGCCCGCCCCGCCGCCCCATGCCTGCGTCGCGAGAGAGAAGCGCCTAGGGTCTCGCTTTGGATTATCTTGCGATGCTTCTCGGGAGCAACGGCTTGATCGTAGGATTTTGTTATTGCCATATGTTTCAGGTTGTTGGTTCCTGTGCGATTTCCTGGGGGATCTCGGGTTTTTTGAATTATCTTAGTGCGCGCCGCGGCGCGTGCTGGCGGATTCGCGCCCATTCTGCGTGGGTCGCTTTTTCTGCCGACCCGAGCGTCGGGACGACCACGTGCATTGGTATCATCAGATGAGCGACGAGGGAACTTCTTGCACACTGGTTTCTAAATTGGCTAGAGCGCTCTGCGAACAAGACGAGTTCGACGAACACGTTGCCGCAGTGTTTCCAGTGCTCGGGTCGCACTCCCCCGATCGCCGTTACCTGACTCGGGCAGCGAGCTTCATCCGAGCTTCGGCTCCCGCGCGGAATCCGAAATGGGGGCAGGCGCGTTTCCAAAAGCGAAGATAATGATACACATGGGTGGCGGGCGATGTTTTGCTCGATTTGGGTGGGGGGATAGATGATCGGGAGGATAAATTTAACGCCGAAGTTTCGGCCTGCTTCTATTTTGGGCTCCCCAGGTTCACAGCGACGACGCCTTCCAGAATATCGAGGGTAAAGTGATGAGGATGGATCAGTTTGCGACGTGGGCAATTACTGCAGATGGACCCAAACCCCTGATGAAGTGCAATATCAAGGCTTCGCGCGGGTTCGCTCGCATCGGGAACACAGTGTGCCACGATAATTTTGCCACGAAGCTCCTGGTCACTCTCGCCCACCCGCAGAACAAGGGTGTTTCTAGAACGGTTCGCGACGCGCTGGTAAGTTCTTTCATTGCAGGTGGAAATCCTGCTGCTTTGCTGCTCCCGTGTGATAAGACGATATACACAATGGCTGATCAAGTTTTACGAAAAGGAAGCATTGAGCAGTTTGTGACCAATGCGATGAATGTGAAAGACGAGTTTTCGTGCGTATCTATCGATGGAACTTACAAGGTGCCCATGTCGCTCGTCGGGCAACCGCAGCACGGCACGCAAAAGCAATCATTTCAACGGGCTGAGAAGCACTTGCTCGAGACAGTCCTGAGCAAGACGTCGTGCGTCATTGGCATTGTCCCCTTGTTCTCTGAGCGCTCGTCCATTGTCATTGATGCTGTCTGCGCGTCGCTGAGGGGCAAGCGCAAGTACGTGCTCGTGTTGAAGGCGGACAACGCTTCTAATCACGATAACGCCGACACCTTCAAGAAGCTCAGGAACTTGCAGGGGATATGTCAAGACCCACTTCGTCGAGCATTCGAGGTCGAGGCTGAGTTTGGCGGGCGCCGCAACCAACTGAGCCGGACGCTTCGATGCATCGTCCACAAGTTTAGCGTTCCGCGCAGGGAAAGGAACCCAGTTTACTACAACTTTCGTACCCAAGGCATGGACAGGTTCCAGTACAACTCAACGTATGACAAGAAGCTGCAGGGCATGACCAAGCGGAACGCCAATGCCCTCATTGCCAACATCGACCCAGAGAGTCCCTTCCGCAAGCCCTCGGAGTATTTTGAATTGCTCGCGGCGGCCGTTGTTAAGCACGACGCGCTCGTGCGGGACAGGCCGAAGCTCGAGGGGATATTCCGCAATGCTGCAACGGTTGCGCAGTTCGAGTATTTGCAGAACAACGCCCGCTTCTTAAAGAAAACCACAAACATCGAGTTGGTGCACGACGGCGCCACTGCAAACGAGCGCCTGCATTTTCAGCTCCTAGCTCATTTCGCAAATCTGCGGTATCAAACGCAACGCCACATGAGGATAGCCGTCCGCTCGTTCGTCGTTCGGCAGATGTTAGCATGGTATTTGTCAACAAGCGTGAAGTTTCCATATACGTCGTCGTCAGATCAGCGCAGTGGAACTGTTCTCAAGCGCTTTATTTCTTCTGTGGAGAAGCAACTCGATAATGTTGGAGAGAAAGAAACGGCGGTGCGGAAGAGGCCCGCTAGCAGGTCGAGGGCTGTTCTTGAGACCATTGCTACAAACAAGAGGCGCGTCTGAGCGATTCATCTCTAGCGGCCGTTGGCGCATGCGAGAGAATCAGCAATTTTCTTATGCGGGAACTCGCGATTGCGTTTGTTTGTCCGCGCGTGAAAATATTACGGAGATCAAGTTGCTATGTTGACTTGCATATGTGTGTATGCATGCATGCTTGCGCGTACATATCTCCGCAGCTCGTACAATGGTGCATGTGTAGTTTCACTCGGTCAAAAACCTTAGTTGCAATCACGGAAAGCACAAGTCAAATAGGGTGAATTTTCTCCCCCTCCCCCCCCCCCCTCGGGCTCTCCGGGAGGGCCCCTTGGAGCTGCTCTTTTGGGCCGTCTTGGGGGCCTCTTGAGCCGTCTTGAGGCCTTCTTCGGGGCCTCTTGGGCCGTCGTGAGGCTGTCTTGAAAGCCTCTCGAGCTATCTTTGGCCATCTTGAGCCGTTAGTTTGGTTGTCGTCATACCTGTTTTGGTAGCCGTCTTGGAGGCTATCTTGGCCGCCTGGCGGCCGAAAAGACCGCCAGAATGCTACTTCAGAGGGGACGATTTTGTAAGGGTGCGTGCGTCGATGGGGGGTCCATCACAACTCTTCGACACCTCCCAGGCACCAGGCGAGCATTCTAGCACGCCCGCACCGTGCAGGCACGGTGGCGGATTTATTGACGCGCAGCTCCCTTCAATCTCCGTGCGGCGCTACGCCGCATCCGTCGCACCAAAGTGGCCCGCCCCCCCGGGGGCTTCAACAGTGGGCGAACACATGTTTCCTTATTTTTCCCAGGATGCTGCCTCAGACTGCGCAGGAGGACTCCGATACGACCCCCCTAAGAGCGCCTCATGACGGCTCAGGAGGTCCCCAAGACGGCGCAAGAGGCCCACGGCCCACGATGCTCCCAACAATGCCCCAACATGGGGCCCACGATAGGGGAAGTCGAAGGAGCTCCAGGAGCATCCTCCCTGAGACGGCACCCCAAACCCCGAATCTACCGCCAAGAGGACGCCGAGAAGCCCACAACATGCCCCCAGAGGCCCACAAGAGGTCCAAGGTTCCCAAGAGGACTCCAAGAGATTTCCATCAGGCCTCTCTTCTCTGCCATCAACTCAGGTCGCAACGCCCAGGCATCACGTGCTCCAGACGTGCACCCCGCGAAGCCAGAGGAATCGACCCTAGTAGCAATGCTACTTAGCGTGCTTCAGCTTGCCGTTCATACTGCTATCCTCATTCCGAAGAGGCTTCGCATCTATCGTCCACTGCCGCTGTCTTATTCGTAAGGGAGGGAATAAACGAGGGTCGGATAGGGGCGGCGTGGAGCAGGATACTAGCGATCATGGTGAGCCAATCCGACGCAGTCACGGAGCACTCTGCGACAATAGAGCAACGGGTTGCTCAATGTCGCGTGCTTGCGCACGTTGCAGAATGGATTGGTGCCGCGGTCCCTTGCACCCAGGGCTGACGAGCCGGCGCGCAAGGTCAAGCTACAGACTGTTTTGAAGGCTCTGGCGGCTCGTCTCGCATTACACTGAGGCGCTCGCTCGCTCGTCAGGGCTCCGTTTCGGGCGGCCCGCGCTCGTCGGTGTGCAGCACCGCGGTTCGCATGGGGTTGCGCACGCTGGGTTCCTCGTGCCTCGCCAGTGGCCACTCGGCACGATCTGTACAGTCGAGTTTGATCAGTAGGTCGACCCTGCCAGATCAAGGGTACTCTTGTGTCCTGTGCTTCGCAACCCATGCCTTCTACACTCCTACGGCAATGCGGCCCTCGGAAGTGTCTTGCGTCCTCTCGCGTGTCCTCTCCAGTCAAGCTCGACTGTAGGAGTGCTGCCGCAGCAGGCGGCTCCGTTTCTGCTTGGGTGCAGGCCATGCGGATCCACCTGAGATACGCCCGCAAGGCTGGCATCCTGGAGCTGGTCGTCAGCGACGTGTACCGGCTGCAGAAGCCACTCCCAGAGGCGAAGAGCTCGCAGGAGTGCGGCAGCACCCGGCGCAAGATGGCGCTGGAGGACCCCCTTTCGGCGGTGAAAGCCGAGCCCTACCCTCGCCAATCAACGATTCCAGGCAGCTCGATAGGCGGCGGGGGTGGGGTTCGGATGTCGCCACCTGCCCCTTCCCTTCGCCTCGTGCGCGTCCTGCCACGGAGGCCTGGCTGGCAAAGCCCTGCCGAGTCCTGTCGAGCGTTCCCGCCCTGTTCGGGCAGCATGAGTCTGGCCGTCGGGCCAAGCGGAGGTCGATCATCCGCCTCGCAGATCAGGAGTCGGGAGGAGGAGGAGAAGGAGGAGGAGGAGGAGGAGGCGGAGGAGGTGGAGGAGGAGGAGGAGGAGGAGGAGGAGGAGGAGGAGGAGGAGGAGGAGGAGGAGGAGGAGGAGGGAGGATGAGGAGGAGGAGGACGAGGAGGAGGAGGAGGAGGAGGAGGAGGACGAGGAGGAGGAGGAGGCGAAGGAGGGCAAGGGGAATACGGCGCTCTGCGATCTATCCGGCCGAGTCTTGCTCGGCGGCGCGCGCAGCAACGGGGCGGCGCGAGGGGGTCGGCCCTCTGAGAAGGCGGGGGAGCTCCTGAGGAGGCAGGGAGCCTCCTTCGAAGACCTCCCAGCTCGTGGGAAGCCTTCTCGGATGCCTCCGTGGCCTTCCAAGAAAGCCCCTGACTTCCAAGACTCGAAGAAGAAAATACGCCATCAACATAAACTTTTGGCGCTCCGCGCAGATTTCTTGGATCCGCGCTGGGCCCCCGTGGCGGCGCCTCCGGCGCCGCCCCTGGCGCGCTCCGCGCGCCAGGGAGGAGGGCCCCGCGCAGATCCAAGAAACCCGCGCGGAGCGCCAAACATTTATGTTCATGGCGCTTTTTCTTCATCTACAGACGCCCGTTCAAAGGCCCCCCGCTCGCGCCACGCCCGTGCGCGCCGCCGACTTGTCGAGCGTTCCTGACCTCTTTGGGCAGCGGGGATCTGGCCAGGGGGGCGAGCGGAGGCCGATCGGCCGTCGGGCTGGGGCTTCTCCTGGCTACGCTGGCGGTCCTCTGCACGGAGGGGGGCCCCGGACCAGTTCCCCGAAGACATTCCGGGCCCCCCACCCCTCCGTTACGGGGGCAGGGGGCGGCAGCTTCGGGCCAGGGGTCGGTCGGGTGTCGAAGCCGTTGAGGAGGCGGGGAGGGGGACGAGAGGTGGGGGGGGGGGAAGGGGGAGCAGCAGGATATGGGGGGGAGGGGACGGGATGTAACACCTACGCGCGCTCCCGCGAGGGAACAGCACTGAGCGAAGGGTCGCCCAGAAAGGTTCTGATGCAGTGATCGTTCAGCCTCCTCGATGACTCAACGTGCCCTTCCTGGCAGCGAGCATGTACGCGTAATTTCTATGTATTTGTTTGGCCTGCAGAGGGCCAGTGGGGCTTATCCTGTGCTGCCCCCCCTTGGGCCTCGGGCGGGGTGGCTTAACGACCACCGTGTAGCTTGCAGTGCCGTGGGCTGCTTGAAGTCACCCACAAATGCACTCGCAGCAGCGCTCGGACCAGAGAGCATGCGGCAGATCGTCTCAGCTTCTGGACGTGGCCCGATCGCAGTCACGTTTTGGAAACGGCGACGTGTTTGGACTTCGGGCCTTCTTCTGTTGGCGCAACAGACCCGGCGGTATCCTGCTGCGCGCGCAACGCAGCGCGCGAGCAAGGCAGCCGGACAGGTCGAGTGGGCGGTGATGTGTACCCCGGATCGGGTGCTCGAGTGTGTGGGGGAAGCAGCGGGCTCTTGGATCGACTGCTCCCCGCGTGCACGGGGGGCCTCGAGGCTCGGCAACGCCAACCGGGGGTGGGACGCTTGGTAGCGCTGACCTGGGGCTGCCGAGGGATCCAGAGCTCCGAGTATGGGACGTGCCAGGACATCGGAGGTCGGAGTTCTTCCGTCCTCCTCCCGCTCGCCCCCCGAGCTTCAGCGACGACTCACACGCCAGAGGACAGAGCATCTCTTGAGCTGCTCAGTGGACGTCTCCGTAGGAGAGGACCGACACGTTTGGGCGAGGGCGTCAGGAGGAGGATGAGGAGGAAGAGGAGGAGGATGAAGAGGAGGAGAACGAGGAGGAAGAGGAGGAAGAGGAGGAAGAGGAGGAAGAGGAGGAAGAGGAGGGTAAGAGGAGGAATAGGAGTTCGAGGAGGGTCGGGGGATGAGTCGCCACGGGAGGCCCTTCAGGTCGTGGAGGTCGCTGGAAAGTACCCGTGGCCAGCAGTTGCCATCTTGGGAGCGGTCTCGCGGATGGCAGATACCCGCTCCAGCTGGTGGAGCTCCCTGGACAGTTTTCGGCGTCCCAGCATTGTTTTCTGGCTTTCGTCCCTGCTCCTCCCGCGCCTTTACCTCCTCCTCTTCCGTCTCCTCTTCCCTCCCCGCGTCGGCCTGTTTCCTCCCTCTTCCCCTCACGCTTTCCCCTGCTCTCGCCTGTCCTTCCCCTTTCCTCCCCCCCTCCCCCCCGCCGCTTTCCTCCTCCCTCTTCTTTCCCCCCTCCTCTTACCTTTCGCCCGCTCATCCTCTCCATCCTCCGCTCCCCCTCCCCCCTCCCCCTCCCGCTCTCCCGCGCTCCTCTGTCGCTTCCTTCCACTCTCTCCCGCCTTCCATGCCCCTGCCTCCCCAGCCCTCCCTCTCCTGCTCCCCTCCTTTCATGCCCCATTCCCCTTGATGGGGACTGGTTCTTGATCGGACGCGCGTGCTGCCCCTTGGAGTCAAAGCGACCTCGGTGCGATCCTGTACATACTCGCCTGTGGAGCGCCGAGAAAAGTCCTCCGCCATCTAATCTGGGCCCTGATGCCCCAAAGAGCACGCGTTAGCGCTCTGGTCATGGAGGGTAACCAGCTCAGATTCTGGCGGGGAAGGTACCCCAAGACCTCGCCTGCTTTCGGCGGGGTGGCTGCTCTGTGAAGGTTTCTCGCGCACTGGTCGGGTGTTGCCGTATGTGCCCCTGGCCCAAGGTATCCCCAGGATTTCCCGGGAAGCTCTCAGGGCCCCCAGAGCAGCACCACACGAGGCTCAGAGGAATGGCGCGAAAAGCTGGGGACACTATGGGCCAGGAGTCATCAGTGTCAGAAACATCCCATTCCCGACGAACTGCAGGTTAGCTCCCCCGCCCCCTCAGGTGGGGATTGGATGCCGCAAAGACGCGGAGGTGGTAGCACCCATCTCCACTTTGGGGGGTTAAGTCGGCCAGGGGGGCCAAGGTTTCCCCAGGGGGGTGAGGATGGTCCCAGACATTTGGCGATTGGATTTTTAAGGCGCGGATCCAGATGTCCCGATCCTTTCCCCTGGGGCAGCTTTTCGTCGCGGATCCGTGTTTCATGGCCCCCCAGGGCCCCAAGACGGGCCCCGGGGGTCGCGATCGAAGAAGAGCAGCTGGGACTGAACAGATCAGTTCGTCGGAAACTCGCGGTTCTGCTGTATCTTCTGGAACAGCAATTCTGGGGAGGCTTGTCCAAGGGGGGTTGTCCGGTGTGGTCGTCCGGATCCCCGCTGGGATGTTCGAGGGGTTGTTTGGGGTAGGCCGTGCTGTCGTCATCAATCAGCCTGGGTTGTCCGGGTTGTACGAGGGGTTGTCTGTTATTTTGGTTCAAGTCGATTATTTTACCAGTGTGCATCGGTATACACCGTTGCTGGCGTGGCGTATACACCGCTGCTGGGTTCAGGATGGACCTGGCCAGGAAAAAGTGTTAGTGCATAAAGTCGGAGAAGAGAAGGTCTAACATATCACGGCGGACGGTTTGTTGCTGCTCTCGGCTTCTGGGGGTGGCGCAAACGTCGGAGGAGGAGATGATGATGATGATGATGATGATGATGATGATGATGATGATGATGATGATGATGATGATGATGATGATGATGATGATGATGATGATGATGATGATGATGATGATGATGATGAGGAGGAGGAGGAGGAGGAGGAGGAGGAGGAGGAGGAGGAGGAGGAGGAGATGGGCTGGTAGCTCGCACCCATGCTTGTGCTCGGAGAGGGAAAATCGGCCATGCGCAGAGGGGGGTACGGGGAGGGGGGATGGCTTCTTAGAAGCACCTGCGCTTCTTAGAGGACGCGGGCCTTCTCTGTACATGTGAGGCCGGCGCCTTCTAAGAGGCAGCCTCCTTCTAAGAAGCCTTCCCCTCTCCCCCTATCCCCTAGTGCGCGCCGCCAAGAAAAGGTACCCATACTGCTACCCTTTGCCCGTTTTCTACATTGTGGGCGGCCTCCTGGGAGGCCCTCGTCGCTATGGCTGGATTCGCCTCGAAATCTTGGTCAGAACGCACCCCGGGAGAGGCCCGGGGAGTAGCGGTAGGGGTACCTTTTGGTTTCCCCATATGCTGCCCCCCGATTTCTTGGGGTCGGATTCCGTGGGGGGCTATGGGTGTGTGGCGTCAGATGGGGGCCCCCGCTCGAACGGGAGCCCCTCGGGGTCTGGCCACCCGCGCCCATGCCTATGGCGCCTTCATCTCCTTGCCCTTCTCCATCCCTCCCCCCGAGGGGTCTGAGGCTGTTCTGCTCGTCCGCCAGGATAGGGGGCCCTCAAAGGAGCCCTGAAGGGGCCCTGAAGGCGCACGACAGGTCCGCCCCTGCTCCACCCGCGCTCAGCAGCGCCCGGGCCTCTCCTGGCGCCAGCCCGCGCGGCCCCGCTCCAGGAGCTCCGCCCGCAGGACAAGGGCGCCTACGAGCGGGCGGAGGCGTGCGCCGGGCGCGCTGCCACCGCTGGCTTGTGTCGCGGCTGCGGCAGGCTTGCGTCGCGCCGACGCAGCGGCGAGCCCAGCGCGGGCGCTCGAGGTGGAGCGCCGCCACTGGAGCGATGGCGACCACGGCGACGAGGACGACGACGGTCCGCAAGCCGACGCGGGCGAGCCGAGCCCAGCGCCTTCCCGCGGTCGGAGCTTCCGTCTGCTGGACATCCCGCCTGGGGCAGGCGTGGCGCTTCAGGCGCGTCGGAAGGCCGCCATCGCGATCCAGAGTCGGCCAACGTGGAGCGATGTGGCGATCGAGAGGCCGCCGATGGTTCGAGGTTGAACGATCCACGCGGTGTCAGACGCCAGCGCCAGGGTCGTCACGACGCGAAGCCGACGAAGTCCGTTGCGGCTGAGGGTGTGATTCGGAGGCGGGCCAGTCGAGACGGCGGCGGCCCTCCCCTTGCGTTCTTCGTCCTGATTGCGCCTCCTGGAGGCTCATCGTCGCCACGGCTGGATCCGCCTCGGAACACGGGCCACAGTGGATCCTGGGAGGCTGTCGAAGAAGAGTGATCGATTGGCACAGGCACAAGCTGTTGGAGGTCCGCTCGGATTTCTTGGATCTGCGCTGGAGCCTCCCCCAGGCGGCGCCTCCGGCGCCGCCACTCGCGCGCCTCGCGCAAGGAGGGGTGTCCAGCGCCGATCGAAGAAATTTGGGCGGACCTCCGCAGGCTTACGTGTAGAGTCTTACTTAGTTGTGGTTGGCTCCTCCCCCTCCTCCTTCCCCTCCTCTTCCTCCTCCTCCTCCTCCCCCCTCCTCCTTCCCCTGCTCCTCCTGCTCCTCCTCCTCCTCCTCCTCCTCTCCTCCTCCTCTCCTCCTCCTCCTCCTCCTCCCTCCCTCCCCTCCTCCTCCTCCTCCTCCTCCTCCCCTCCTCCTCCTCCTCCTCCTCCTCCTCCTCCCTCCTCCTCCTCCTCCTCCTCCTCCTCCTCCTCCTCCTCTCCCTTTCCTCCCCCTCCTCCGGTGTGACGGTCAACGTGCAGCTCGCGCCAGTGGCGATCCGCTTTGCGGACAAAGTGGGCTGCTATCCCCACCAGAAGTTTGAGCTCCATCTGGGGAAGGATTCAAGGATGGCGCGCCTGGAAGTGCACCTCGGGAGCACCTGGAAGGATAGCGTGCCCGACAGTGTTGTATAATATGGTGTGCTATAGTAGTGCGGGTAAAGGTACCGCAGGGGTGGGGCGGGGCGAGGGGAATAGAGTATGACAGGCAGAGCATACCGGGGCGTATCGTTGAACAGTATGCTATGGCGCCGTGCATCAGAGTACGACGGTGTGATGCGGTGTGATCTCTGTTTTTTGGGTATGGCCCTGAGTGACACGACGTGGCATTGCATGCGATGCCATGCTATGGTACATCATTTCGTGCCGCCTTTGACGAGTCGAGACACGGTTGTGCATGTGCTTGCGGCCTGTACCTGCAACACATGATTTCATGACGTTGTGCATGCAATGCGAAGTAAAGTGACAGATCACGCTGCCATCATACCTGCCACCGCACTTGGAATGTATTGGGTGAATCATGCATGCATGCGGGTATGTGTACGCGCATCCATGGATTTCGGGTTTAGTGCACGAGTCGGAGCATGCTCATATGGCACATATGTTTGTATACAGACGTGTATACCTTGGTCCTTGAAGTCTGGTATGCAGGCGGAATAGCAGGAAGGTCAAGCCGACAATTTAGCGATAACTCCTGGTTGCCTTTTCCGGCATCGCCGCTATAATAAGGTTTTTCGTTATCCTTCCTCCATGCTTCTTTTTATTTTCGCCATACCCTGCGCATTCTCCCCATCCTCCTCAGCTCTTTTTTCTAGGGGCCTCACAAAAGTTGTTTCAGGCTTTCTTGAGGCCTTCTGGAGGCCTCCTGGGCGTATTCTGGGGGCCTCCGGGGGCTTCCTCGGGCCACCCTGCCTCCAACCACGGTCTCCCTGAACGACCGAATCACGATTTGGAATTCTTCGGAGGGTGTCTTTGGGCCATCTTGGGCCGCCATGGGACTCTGAGGGCCATCTTGGACCCGTGTTGTGCCGTTTTGGGGTTCCCTTGGACTGCCTGGAAGCCTTTTCGGATGGTTGTGGGGCGATTTTGGAGCCTCCCAGGCGGCTTCGGACGCCCAGAAGACCGCCGTCTTGGAGCGTCGGGAAGCCGAAAAGAGGAGAACCCCAAAATTCACCAAAAACCGAAAGAAAATCAATGATTTTTGCCTCGGAGGGCCTTCTTGGGAGTGCTCTTGGAGGCCTCTTTGGGGCCGTCCTGGAGGCAGGCCTCTTGGGCCATCTTGCGGTCACGTCGGTCACTCTTGAAGCGCCCTTGTGCTGTCTTGGGGGTCTCTGGGACGTCTCCGATGACCCCCGTGATCGCCCTAATTAGGTGTGCTGGGAAGGCTTGGCAAAACGCCCTGCGAGGCCTGGTGGCCGCTTCGAGGCCCGTCCGGAGGGTCCCAAAGCCCCAGATCCCGGGAGTCCGTTTTTTTTTTGGGGGGGGGGGACGGGTTTCCCCCCCGCCCGGGCTTATAGAAAGATAGGAAGAGGCATACATTCATGTGTATATACGTAGCACCTCGCAGTTGTGGATCAGAGTAAAGGGGCGGCAGGGTCGTCGGCAGTCTGCGAGGCTTCGAAGATGTGCGACGCAGGCGCCTTTTTTGTAACACATTGCACATCGAGCCCGTCGCAGGCGACGAGTTTTTTTCAAAGCAATGTGGGAGGGTCGCGAGTGGGTCGCGGGAAAGTAGAGGGGTTGGTCGTGGGGTGGGTCGCGGGGTTCGTCGCGGGATGGGTCGCGAGCGGGTCGCGGGCGAGGACGACAACATCAACAATCACTTTAAGACAGCTCGCTCTTATCTGCTCGCGTGCCATTCAACACGTATATCCCAAACCCTCGATGCTCCGCCCTCTTCGTGTTCGATCGTACCCCCGTAGGGGTATATCCTCCTTACCTGCAACGTGCATTTCGTCCAGCCCCGAAGGCAAGGGAAAAGAGAACGGATGGAAGGGACAAGGGGGAGGGAGGAGGATGGAGAACGAGAGACAGGAGCAGGACGGGGTCTAGGAGCAGAAAACACGTGGCAGAACCAGACGGGCAGATCGGGCAGGTAGACCCAAACGGGCGGGTCGGGAAGGCAGGCCTAGGCGGCCAGGTCGAGCAAGCGGGTTGCTGAAGCGTGCGTCCTGCATGAGTCCGGAGGAAGTCGCGAGCGATAGCGCAATGCTCAAATAAATCGCAATCCACAGCGAGAGCGTGATTCCTGAGTGTGGAGGGCGCGGCGTCTGAATCAATTGCGAGGAAGTCCCACGCGAGAGCGCGATTCCAGTATAACTTTTGAGGGAGTCCCGCGGAACGGAATACATTGTGAGTAAATTTCCGGCCGGAGCCGTTGTTGTTGTAAGTCGGGGGCCCGGGCACAATTTGGTGACACCTCGCGTTCCCTTGTAAAAACAGGGTGCGAGCCCCGGGATCAGCACTTCAATTGAAACATATAATGGTTACCCGAGGGAAGGGGCTTCTCAATATTTTTGGAGAAGTGAGAATTCAGCAATAATTATTCATTGCGTGGAGCTCCCCATATGTGCATCTATCAGCATGGACCTGTCCGCCGTGAGTGTCTAGGCGCAAGAGTTTTCGAATATTCATGGGCTTGGGTATCGACGGTCTGGGAGTGAATCTAATTGTGAATGACTTGGAGTGTGAATGAGTCTCAGTAGTACGAGCGCATCTCTCTGCGCATGAGCCTGCGGCCTGCCTCCTGGAGCCTCCTGGAGCCTCCTGGGGCCTCCTGGGGAGGATTCGTCCCCAGGGCAGGCCCAATCTATAGGAACAGACGTAGATAAAACATTGGGGATTGGATCCGCAGGAGAAGGGCAATCTATAGGAGCACGTAAGATACCAAGGACTCGTGCCTCAGGGGAGGCCCAATCTATAGGAGCATACGTGAAACACTCAGGATTGATTCGCAGGAGAAGGACAATCTATAGAAGCATACATAAAACACAGGATTCGTGCTCCAGGGGGGGCCCAATCTATAGGAGCATACGTACAACACATGGGATTGAAACCACTCCTGTGGCCTTCATAGCTCCGAGAGCTCTCCGAGGCTCCTCCAAATAGTTTTTTTTGGGGGGGTTGTTTTATTGATATTTTCCGATTGCCCCCGACTGCCCGAGACGGCACAACATTTTTTCAAGACCGCCTCTGGAATCGCCAAGAGGCTGCCAAGAGGGCCCCTCGACAGCCCAAGAGGGCCAGGGACAGCCCAAGTGCCGCACAAGACGGCCAAAGAGAGTCTCAAGAGGGCCGCAAAAGAGGCTACCGAGGAACGCAAACTGATATTTCGAGCCTGTCGACTCCGAAAGGCCGCCAAGACCCCCGACATATACCCAAGAGACACCCCGCTGGCCTCGAGAGGGCCTCATGGAGCACAACCGGGCGCCCAACATGACCCCCACGAGGGCACCCAGAGTCGAAAATGACAGAATTGCCTTTCGGTTTGTGATGCAGTTCAACGTTCTTGACGTTTCGTGCGTTTCACGCTCGACAGTTGCCGAATTCACCCCAAATATCGCCCCAAGACAGCCGAAAAGGCCCCAGAAGAGCCCCAAGACGGCCCCTCCATGGGGGGAGGTCAACCGAAGCGTCTCCTCGGGGGGGAGGGGGGACGGTCCGTTGGCTCGCGATCGTCGCGTAGTCCTCTACACGAGTGCGACGACGACGTACGATGATACGACGGCTTGCGACGATGTTTGACGACGAGTGCCACGGCGCCTGAAGCCTTAGGACGGCTCAAGAGGCGCCTGAGAAGGCCCAAGAGGGTCCCAAGACGGAGGCCCCAAACCCTCAAGAGGCCCCCCAGCGACCCGAAAGAAGCCCGAATATGCTTCAAGTCGACCACCCCCCATAGGCCTCAATACTGCCTTCAAGACGAACCCGAGAGGCCATCCACGAGATCACAGCGAACATGCAGGAAGCATCTGACCCACAACCCAGGCACGGAGGCGGAATGAACCGGAGACCACTCGAGACGTAAATGCACAGTTTCATGTGTACACCGAGGGCAGCGGCGGTAGTCGCGATCGTAGCCATAGCAAACGTGGCGATGATGGCGGTCGCGATCGTGCCCGTGGTATTGGAGGCAGCCGTGGCGCAGCTGTCTGTGACTAGAACCTGAGCGCGCGTGGAGCGCGTGCGCGTGGTTTTTGTATCATATATGTTTGCCAGCGTGGCCTCCAATCAGTGAGTTTTCGCATTCTTGTGGTGGAAGCTATGTGGTGGAAGCTATGAGGTAAAGGCTTTGTGGTTGAAGCTATGTGGCGTAAGATACGTGGTGTAAGCTATGTGGTGCGAAGTCTGGGGTGGAAGGTACGTGGTGGAAGCTATGGGGCAACGCTTCGCGTGTACAGAGATGCTGACAGAAAGCTGGGTCCCACTTATGGAACCCAACTTTTCGTGTTCTCGACACTTCGCGTCTCCCCACTGGATGTGGGAGCGCACGAGGCGGTCACGGGTGGCAACTGGCCAGAACGTGGCGAATATTCGCTGCACCCACACAAGCGGCAACGGGCAGCACCGGGTGGCAGCGGGCGGCAGCGGGCCAGAACGTGGCGAATCTTCGACGCAACCACACAAGCGGCAACGAGCGGCAACGGGCGGCAACAGGCGACAACTGGTGGCAACGAGCCAGAAAGTGGCAAATCTTCGACGCACCTACCCAAGTGGCAACGAGCGGCAACGGGCGGGAGCGGGCTGGAACGCGGCGAATCCTCGACGCACCCACGCAAGCGGCACACGCGGCAAGAGGCGGTAACGGGCGTCAACGGGCGTCAACGGGCAGGGACGTGGCGAACCTTCGACGTACCCATCTAATTCCTTACTACGCGCTGTGTGGGGCATGTTCGCCTGAGGCCCCGCCTTCCTGTGCCCTGTCTCCCTAATAAAAGCTGTGCGTAGCCCGCCTAGCTTTTAGCGGAAGAGGTTCGCTCTCGCCCCGCAGATCAAAAATTGTGTGGGGCATGCTTTTTAAACCACCCGCCCTCCATCCTCAAATCTGTTGCAAACTTTCCAAACACGTGCGTGACGCTGAGGAGAGAGCCATATTTTGAAAACCACCCGCCCTCCATCCGTGAACCTGTTGCAGAATTTAAGCATTAGACTCAGAAGCGGTGAGGAAGTCTCTGGCGAAACGCCCAGCCCGCCCTACCAACAACGTCTTGGGGTGCGACGGGGAGGAGTTATTTGTTTGGGGAAGGGGAGGAGGAGGAGGAGGAGGAGGAGGAGGAGGAGGAGGAGGAGGAGGAGGAGGAGGAGGAGGAGGAGGAGGAGGAGGAGGAGGAGGAGGAGGAGGAGGAGGAGGAGGAGGAGGAGGAGGAGGAGGAGGAGGAGGAGGAGGAGGAGGAGGAGGAGGAGGAGGAGAGAGACGACATAGAGGATGAGGGCAAGGAGAAGGGGGATGGAGAAGAGGGAGGATGGAGGACAACCTGCCTTCCTTGCCGCCTCCATCCTCTCTCTTTGCCTGCCTCCAGCAGAGCACTCCGCTCCCCTGTTGTGCCCTTGAGTTGAAGCCGCTCCTGGTGCCGAGCGTGCCGGCCAACCTCGCGGCCGAGGCGTTCCGCCACGCTGAGGTCTGGGGGGCGGCAGGGTATCGAGGTTTTCGCAGACGACGGCGACCCCATCGACGACGCCGACCTCGACCCCGACGGCGACGACGACGAGGACGACAACGGGGACGACGACGACGACGACGACGAGGACGACGACGACGAGGACGACGACCGCGACCCCGATACCGACCCCGACGCCGACGACGACGATCCCGACGACGATCACGACGACGACGACGATCAAGACGACAACGATCCCATCGAAAACGCCGACCCCGACCCTGATCCCGACCTCGACGCCGGCGACGACGACCCCGACGGCGATCACGACGTCGACGACGACGACGACCCCATCGCCGACGCCTACCCCGACGCCGACCCCGACGCCGACGACGACGATGACGATCCCGACGACGATCACGACGACGAAGACGAGACGACGCGGAGGAGGACGACGACGACGAAGTCGACGGCGACGACGACCACGACGACGACGAGGGCGAGGACGAGGACGTCGACGACGACGTTCGCATCGACAACGCCGACCGCGACGCCGACCCCGATGCCGACCCCGACGCCGACGACGACGATGACGATCCCGACGACGATCACGACGACGAAGACGAGACGACGCGGAGGAGGACGACGACGACGAAGTCGACGGCGACGACGACGATCACGACGTCGACGAGGACTAGGACGAGGACGAGGATGACGAGCACGATGCCGACCCCATCGACGACGCCGACCCCGACTACCCTGACGACGGACCCGACGACGATCACGATCACGACGACGACGAGGACCACGACGGCGACGACGACGCCGAAGACGACGCCATCGACAACTTCGACCCCGATCCCGACCCCGACGTCGACGACGATGACCCCTACGACGATCACGACAACGACGAAGACGACGACGACACCATTGCCGACGCCGACCCCGACCCCGACCTCGACCCCGACCCCGACACCGACGACACCGACGACTATCCTGACGACGATCACGACGACCACGACGTCGACGACGACGACAAGGTCGATGACGAAGACGACGACGACGATCACGACGACGACGAGGACGAGGACGAGGACGAGGACGACGGCGACGACGACGAGGACGACGACGACGAAGACGACGAGAATGACGGCGACGACAACGACCCCGACCCCGACCCCGACACCGACAGCGACGACAATGACGACGATCCCGACGACGAGCACGACGACCACGACGTCGACGTCGACGTCGACGATGACGACGACAAAGTCGAGGACGAAGACGACCACGACGATCACGACGACGACAAGGCCGAGGACGAGGATGACGACGACGACGACCACGACAACAACGATCACGACGACGACGACGACGTCGGCAACCACGACGACGACGACGACGACCCCATCGAGAACGCCGACCCCGACGCCGACGACGACGACGATCCCGACGTCGACGACGACGACGACGGCGACGACGACGAGGACGATCCCGATTACAATCACGATTTCGACGACGCTGACGACGACGACGATCCCGACGTCGACGACGACGACGACGGCGACGACGACGAGGACGACGACCCCATCGCCGACGCCGACCCCGATCCCGATCCCGATCCCGACGTCGACGACGACGACGACGATCCCGACGACGATCACGACGACGACGACCCCATCGCCGACCCCGACCCCGACGCCGACGACGACGCCGACGACGACGACGACGACGATCCCGATTACAATCACGATTTCGACGACGCTGACGACGACGACGATCCCGACGTCGACGACGACGACGACGGCGACGACGACGAGGACGACGACCCCATCGCCGACGCCGACCCCGACCCCGATCCCGATCCCGACGTCGACGACGACGACGACGATCCCGACGACGATCACGACGACGACGACGACCCCATCGCCGACCCCGACCCCGACGCCGACGACGACGCCGACGACGACGACGATCCCGATTACAATCACGATTTCGACGACGACGACGTCGAAGACGACGACGAGGAGGAGGACGACGACGAAGATGCCGACGACGTTCACGACGACGACGAGGGCGAGGGCGAGGACGTCCACGACGACGTTCGCATCGACAACGCCGACCCCGACGCCGACCCCGATGCCGACGACGGCTTGACGACGACGAGGACGAGGACGATGACGACGACGACGATCCCATCGACAACGCTGGCCTCGACCCCGATCCCGACCTCGACGCCGACGACGACGACGACCCCGACCACGACAACGACGACGGCGACGACGACGACGACTACCCCATCGCCGACCCCGACCCCGACCCCGACCCCGACCCCAACAACAACGACGACGATCCTGACGACGATCACGACGACCACGACGTCGAGGACGACGACGACGAGGACGACGACGAAGATTACGACGACGACGTCGACGACGATGACGACAACGCTGACCCCGACCCTGATCCAGACCCCGACGCCGACGACGACGACGTTTACGAGGATGACGTCGATCACGACGACGCCGACGACGACGACGACGACTACGACTATGATGACGACAACGACGACGACCCCATCGCCGACGTCGACTCCGACCCCGACCCCGACGCCGACGACGACGACGACCAAGACGACCCCGACGACGACCCCGACGACGACGGCGTCGACGACGACGACGAGGAGGATAACCGCGACGACGAAGACGACGACGAGGATCACGACGAGGACGAGGACGAGGACGAGGACGAGGACGAGGACGAGCACGAGGGCGACGGCGACGACGACGATGACGACCATGACCATGACGATGACAACGACGACGACGACGGCGGCGGCGACGACGACCACGACGGCGACAATTTCGACAAGGACGACCCCGACGACGGCGACGGGAAGGTTCGTTGCCAGCGACGTCGTCGTCGTCGCCGCCGCCGCCGCCGCCGACAGCAGAACGGATATCGAGACGTGCTGGATGCGTTTTTGAGGCCTGAAGGGTACGTGTTTTTTTGGAGGCGGCCTTCGTCGTGGCGCGTCCGGCCAGCGCGCGTGGGGGCCCTTTTTCCCCCCTGCCTCCGCGACTTCTCCGTCGCTTCGCCTTTCTCCTGCACGGGGCCTCGCTCGCGCCTGCGCAGCCCACACACGCCCGACTGCCCCGGACTCGGCCCGCGTTCGCTGGCCAAGAGGCTTGTGGCGGGAAGGGCGCGCACTCCGAATTTTATAGTCTGATGATGGTGGTCTGATTTGGAGGAGGGTCTGATCTGAGCTGTCATGGAGGGTTCCAGTGGGGTCTGGCCACGAGGCCGCCCTTTCATGGCTGGCCTGGGGGTGGGAACCAACCTGCTCGTCTGGGAGGGTGGTGACCCCCTCCCCTTTATAATAATAATACTAACAGTAATAATTATTATTAGTATTATTCATTATTATTCGTTTTATTTTCATTACTATTATTATGATTATTGTTACTGCTATTATCGTTGTTATTCTTAATATTATGACTATTGTTCGTATCATGATGATTATATTTATTATTTTTCGTATTATTCTTGTTATTATTGTTATTATTATTGTTATGCTTATGATTATGATTGCTATTATATTTCTTCTTCTTCTTCTTCTTCTTCTTCTTCTTCTTATTCTTCTTATTGATCATTCTTATTGTTGCGAAATTTTGAGTTGCGTGCTGGAGGTGAGCTGGGAGCGTTCTCGCCACCCCCAGCGTGTGTTGGGGGCTGGAGGGGCGGCAGCCTCCCGCGAGGCTGCCCCCCCCCCCAGGAGACCTCGGCCTCCCGCTTCGTCAGGTGGCGGGCGGCGTGCGTGGGGCCTTTCCTCGCGCCGCGCTGGCCGCGCCCGTGGTCTCTCACCGAGCGCGTTCCACTACTCGCAAGGTGCCTACTCGCAACCAAAAAGCAGGTCTTCATCGATGTAATTTATCGTAAATCTCCCATGGCGGATCCAGGCCATTTGCGAGTAGTGACTTTCGCGAGTAGCGGAACGCGCCTGTCTAGTCTCTCTTCTTCTCACCTCGGGGGCAACGGTAGGGGGAGATATGCATAAGGGGGGATGCATCGGCCCTCCATCGCTCATTGATCGCCGATGGGGGCCCGAGGAGTGACGCGTGACGTGCGCCAGAGGCCGTCCGCGAGGCTCGCTTCGGAGCAGGCCGTTCAGCTTCCCCCGCTCCTCCTGCCGGCGTGGTGCTGCGGTGGCCTCAGCTCCGCGGGGTCGCGGCGTGTCCAGGGTGGAGTCGCAGCGGGCAGGAACCTTTGCTTGTCGTGTTGCGCCACTGGCGCTGGCTCTGGCCCACGGCGCTTCGGCGCGACACGCTAGGCACGTCCCAGTTCCCAGCCATCAGCGCTTCGAGCTTTTCCCAGCCTGCCGTCCCACGACGCAGAGCGACACGCGGTCAGCTTGCAAGGCGTACTTAGCGTATCGCCTTTGCCGCCGCCGCGACACGCTAAGCACATGCTCTTCCTCACCGTATAGTGTCGTGGTAGAGCGGTGCTGTGGTGTCGTGGGGTCATGGTGTCAGAGCTACATCAATATCGAACATCGAAGCTAAACGTCATATATGACTTTACAGCTCTACGGCGGTCTCGAGTTGACGCTACAGCCAGCATTCGTTCAATCTTTGCTGCAGATGAGCGTGAACAGCTAAAGTCCAAGCTCACCAGTTTAAGTTGTGGCTTGAGCTAACACATCGGTGGCACCGTGTTATTCGTCGAGGTCGTCCGCCGCGGTGCCCGATGCCCCTGGCGTTGCGTTGTGGTGTGGTGTAAATGGTTGCAACCAGCTCCAGAGATCCTCCAACTGTTTTCGCGATTGAGATTGGTTTTTGAATTCAAGGAACCAAGTTTTGTGAATTCAAAACCAGGTTTTTGATCAAAAACCTGTTTCTGATTTCAAAAACCAGTTTTTTGAATTCAAACACCAGCCTCCAGAGGTCCTCCAAGACTTCGCGATAGAGTTCGCAACCTTCCTCTCCCTCCTCTTCCTCATCCCTCTTCTTCTTAGTCAATCTTCTTCTTCCTGGTCTTCTTCGTCCTCAGGCTGCTTTGGCAAGATGTCCTTCGATCAGACTCTCCCTGTTTGTCGCCTCGAGGCCGTGCAGACGCACGTCACGGTTGAAGGACAACCTTTATGCAACTTCTTGGTGGTGCTTGTTTTCGTGGTCGACCTGGCCTGGGCTTCGACCTGTCGAAGAGGGTGGAGTGTGCTGGCCAGGCAGGAGCAGACGTTGGCCAGTGGTACAGGTGAAGCTCAGCTTCTCGCAGAGGAGGGGAGGAGGGCAAAGAAGGGTATGGCAACTTCGTGTCCCGTCGACTCGGCGGCGATCCCAGCGCAGGCTTTCAAGGCTGACCGCCATCAGCCTGCGACGGAAATCGGTACTCCGAGTTTCTTAATAAGCGTGGGGGAGCGCCACCCCCGCGGACAGGCAGCCACCGCGCGCCGAAGGCGCTGCGACGAGGCGAGGTTGACCCCCGTCGGGGGGTACCCCCCCACGCTTGTTAAGAAACCCAGAGCAGATGTCGAACGATCTGCGCTGTCGGGAAGCTTCGGTTGCTCAAGGTGGAACGCGCGTGCAGCTCGGTGCCTGCGGCGGGCGCCTGCCCGAGTCGGTGGAGAGCCTGTGGAGACGCTGGCGGCTCTCCCGCCTGGCCCAGATCCGATGAAAGTCGGCCCCAGACTCAAGTCGGGCCTGTCCCCCTACAGGAGGAATATTCAAACATAGTTTAAACACAGTCGTGGGACGACTGTTTCGACCATTTCTGAGCAATTCTTTTTTTTTGGGGGGGGGGGGGGTAAGCGGTTTTTTGCCCTAAACCCGCCTGCAGGGGGACATGCCCGACCTCACCACAGACCCCTCCCAGGGTCCATCCCGACCCGTTTTTCGAGGCGGGTCCAGCCGTGGCGACGAGAGGCCTCCGAGAGGTTTGCACAGGGCGAGCAACGCCAGGGAGGGCCGCCGTTGTCTCGGCGGGCCCTCCTGCGATTTAGGATTTAGTCCTCGTCGCCAGGGCGGGGCATCGCTCGGACGTGTGCGTTTTTTCCTCGGCGAGGGCCATCGAGGAGATTCCTGGATCATTTGCCGACAAAAAAGCCACGCACGAAGCCGAACAAAAACACAGCGAATGGACGTCCGAGCGATGGCCAGAGGGCGGGGCCAGGTCGTGAAGTTCGACGCGAGGCGGACGCTGCCCTTCGAGCTGTTCGGTGGGGGCGGGGGGCGCTGCGGGGCCGTCGGCGCCACTGGCTTCTACCAGGGGCAGGTGAAGGTGTACGGCCCTGGTCCAGCATAAGTATTTTGCTTTCCGCCCAGTGGGTGATGGCTTGCCTCTCCCGTGTGACCTACGCTGCCCTCTCTTTCGGCAGCTCGCACTGGTCGCTCACCTTCCAGTACGCTGGTTTTCGGTGCCTGAGGTCGCCTGCGCACTCCTCGCAACGAAGATTCTCTGCGCATGCCTCTCCCCGCGTTCCCCCCTCCGCAGCCGCCCTTTTTCCATTCATCGGGTGTGCCTCTGCCTGGTCTGCCCCCCCGGCTGCTCATCGTCGAACTCTTCGGCGTCTGAGCGTCCCTTTTTCCTCTCGGCCGTCCCCCCTCCCTCCTCTTTGCTCGCCGGCCAATTCGCTAGTTTGTGCTCCCATCTAGCTTCTCGCTTGAGCGGAGTTCGCCGCCTCGCCGCTGACGAAAAAGTGCCTCTGCCTGGTGCGGCTCGCCAGTTGACAGTTGACAGAACGCGTTGGCGTCCGCCTTAACTGTGCAATTGTGAGTGCCGCAGTCTTGAGTATCGTCTTCGGCGGAGCCCTTTTATGGGGCCACGAGACGTGCGAATGGTGCGCCGAAGTGGTGATGGGGGAGATATGCAGGCCCTGGCGCTGGGGTCTTAGGTGGGTTCTTATGGGGCCACGCAGCGTGTGAGGGGTGCGTCAAAAAAGTGTGGAGAAGGCATGCGGGCGCAACCGCTGGGGCCGTAGGTGGAGTTCCTTATGGGACCACGAAGCGTGCGAGTGGTGCGCCGAAGCTGCTTGGAGAAACCATGTGGGCGCAACCTTTGGGGCCTTACTGGGGCTCCTTCGGGGGCTGCGAAGCGTGTGAGGGGTGCGCCTTAGATGGAGCTTCCTATGGGGCCACGAAGCGAATGATGGGGTGCGCCGACGTAGTGTGGAGAAGTCATGCGGGCGCATTCACTGGGGCCTTAGGTGGAACTCTATATGGGGCCACGAAGCGTGGAACGGGTGCGCCGAATGGTGTGGAGAAGGCATGCGGGCGCAACCACTTGGACTTTAGGTGGAGCTCCCTGTGGGCCCACGAAGCGTAGGGATGCGCCGACATGGTGTGGAGAAGGCATGCGGGCGCAACCACTGGGGCTTTCGTTGGGGCTGTCGTTGGAGCTCCCTATGGGGCCACGAAGCGTGTGAGGTATACGCCGAAATTCTTGAGAGAAGGCATGCAGGGGCCTTCGATGGAGGTTTCTATGGGCCCACGAAGCGTGGAACGGGTGCGCCGAAATGGTGTGGAGAAGACATGCGGGCGCAACCGCCGAGGCCTTCGGTGGAGCTCGCGTTGGGCCCACGAAGCGTGTGAGGTATAGGCCGAAATGGGCGACTTCCCTTCTGAATGTTCCCACTTCCCTCTTTTCAATTTTTGTGTGGACTTTTCATTGATGTCGTAGGGAGCGTTCCTCCAAACCGCTTACAATTGGTATTATTTTTATTTTTCGTATTCTCCGTATTCGTATACTTATGTTTTATTGCTATCCTTCTTGTTATCATCACATGCAGCATTCGTATTGAACTTGCTACTCGTATACGCGATGATTATTATCTTTCGTATTGTTGTTTGTATTCGTATTTTCATTCGTGTTGTGTGTTGGACATTTTCATTTTTCACCTCCTAAGTGGGTTTATGTTTTCTTTGGACACCCCGCGCAAACTTCACGCACACACGCACTCTCCTCTACTCCTCATCATCATCACAGCATTATCATCAACATCGTATCATCGCCATCATACCCACCGCCGCCATTAGAATTGCAACATCGCGCTCACATACATCACCATCGACCAGTCACCGTCACACCGGCATCATCATCGCACACGCGCGCTCACTTATACACACTCACACCATCACCACTACCACCATTATCATCTCACACGTACTCACGCACTCACTAACAGTTTCATTCGTTCTCGCGCACCCGCGCATGCATTTTGAGGCAGTCTCGGGCGGGAGCCTCGTCTGTGATGAATCGTGAGCAGTTCGCACGCGGGGGCCCCCTCCCTACGGGGCCGCCAGAATAAGTTAGCAACACGAGCGAGTCATCCAAAACCTGTAACTGTCGTCCTTCTTGGTCTCCTGAGGCGTGCTACTACAGGAAGTCTTGAGCGGGAGCCTCGTTTGTGGGTGAATTGAGGAAATCTCGGGCGGGAGCCCTCTCTGAGGCTGCCAGATCATGTTAGTAACCCGAGCGGGTCATTGAGGTCTTGTAAATTCTGTGAGTTTTGGGCTCGTGAGGCGTGGATCTGAGGAAATCTCGAGTGGCAGCCTCGTAAAGGAGTGGATTGTGAGGAAGTCTCAGGCGGGAATCCTTTCCCTTTGGGGCCGCCATGTCATGTTAGGAATCCGAGCGGGTCGTCCATAGTTTGTAATTATCGTCACCTTTGGGCTCCGAGGCTTGGATCTGGAGGATCTGGAGGAAGTCTCGAGCGGGAGCTTCGTCTGGGCTCCGGGGTTTCCGCAACGGCTTGATCTACTAGTGCCCCGGCGGCCCGCGGGAGTCGTCTCAGTGACCTGGCCCACGGGGTTGTCCCAACGGCTTCGAGATCTGGCTGCCAGAGGACGCGCCCCAGCCGGCCGCGGTGGCGACGGCGTTGAGGAAAATCAATATGCGTGCCCTTGCAAGGCGGGCGGCGGAGGAGGTGCACGAGGAGAAGGGGCAGCAGGAGGAGGAGGACGAGGAGGAAGAGGAGGAGGAAGGAGGATGAAGAGGATGATGGTGATGATGATGACGATGATGATGCTGATGATGAGGATGCTGATGATGAGGATGAGGATGGGGTTGAGGATGCTGATCATGATGGTGATGATAATTGTGATGCTGATGATGATGATGATGATGGTGGTGGTGGTGGTGGTGGTGGTAGTGTTGATGATGCTGATGATGGTGGGTGTGGTGCTGGTGATCGTGATGATGGTGATGCTGATGATGATGGTGGTGATGATGATGATGGTGGTGTTGGTGGTGCTGATGATGATGATGATGGTGATGGTGATGGTGATGGTGATGATGTTGTTGATGATGATGATGATGATGATGATGCTTATGATGATGATGATGATGATGATGATGATGATGATGATGATGATGATGATGATGATGATGATGATGATGATGATGATGATGATGATGATGATGATGATGATGATGATGATGATGATGATGATGATGATGATGATGATGATGATGATGATAATGATGATGGTGGTGCTAATGTGGTGCTGATGAGGATGATGGTAATGATGATGACGAGGAGGAGAAGGAGGAAGAGGAGGAGGGAGGAGGAGAGGAGGAGGAGGAGAGAGGAGGAGGAGGAGGAGGAGGAGGAGTTTGACGACCAGTACCAAAAGTCCCACTCTGCGTCGCTCTACCCTCAAAGACCGATGGCAGGCGTCGCGCACTCGCACGATGGACGTGCCGCCTCTACCTGGTGCTCCCGCTGCTGCTGCTGCTGCCTCCCATTGCGCTAGACCGCTGGCGGGCTGCCCGCTGGAGGCACTCTGTGGACTCAGGGGGTCCAAAAACAGTGATCTTCCCCTTCTCAGTCCGTGGATGCTGCCCCTTCAACATCCGACTCCAGCTGTGCTGCTGGACATCCGACGAGAAACCTCCACGGGGAATTCATGGACGAGAAACGCACATTTCTCGAGAGGTGGGCCCCGCACCTCGCACATCTGAGGTAGAAGGCCCCCCTTTATCAGCTAAGAAAGGGCACGCTGAGAGCCTGTGCACCCGGGCTCCTGAGCTGACCATGACACAGGGCGGTTGTGACCCGGGCAGACGGGCGGAGCCGTTGTGCTGTCCTTGCACGCCCACGCCAGTGGCGAGAAACTCCTGCCGATCTCCCTCCCGGGGTGGGGGCCGACATCGACCCACGAGGCTCCAACGGAGGTCATGAGCGTACAACCCACCATCACTACTAAGGTTTGGGGCGGATGGGTGAACCATCGGCTCCGCAACCTGGTGCCTCACCATTCGGCACCCTAAACCTTACTAGTGAGGGTGGGTAGCAGTAGGAGAGAGCAGTAGTAGTAGAAGAGGAGGAGGAGGAAGAGGAGGAGGAGGAAGAGGAGGAGGAGGAGGGGGGAGGAGGAGGAGGATAGGAGGAGGGAGGAGGAGAAGCAGGAGGAGGAGACGAGGAGGAGGACGAGGAGGATGAAGAGGAGGAGGAGAGGAGGAGGAGGAGGAGGAGGAGGAGGACGACGAGGAGGAGGAGGAGGAGGACGAGGAGGAAGAGGAGGAGGAAGAATTCGGATAAGAAACATAAGAAGAAGAGGAGTAGGAGGAGGCGGAGGCGGAGGCGGCGGCGGAGGCGGAGGCGGAGGCGGAGGCGGAGGCGGAGGAGGAGGAGGAGGAGGAGGAGGAGGAGGAGGAGGAGGAGGAGGAGGATGAGGAGGATGAGGTCGTGGAGATGGGGCGGCTGCCAAGAGAATGACGGCCTCTCCCTCGACTTGCTGCGCCAGTATTGCACGTTCCAAGCCCTTCTTTGTTGGGTTCCCGTTTTAGATAGAGCACTGTGGTTCCCACCTCTCCCCCTGCCCCTCTGTTCCTCCCTTTCTTCCTCCTCCCGCCGTCTTTTTTTTCTCCCCCAAACCCTTCTGTGTGTTGGGTTTTCGTTTTGACGAGAGCTCTGTTGTCCCCCCACCTCCTCTCCCGCCTCCCTCCTCCTTTTTGCCTCCTTGCTTATTCCCTCCTCCTGCCGTCTGCCTCCTCGGAGGTGGGTGGTTGCGAACTGCGCAGCTGTCGCCTCCTTCGTGGGCTCCTGGAGGGTCTGGTGGAGCAGGGGAGTGCGCAGACCCCGACGGGACCTCGCTGCTCCAGGGGTGGCTGCGAACCGCACACCTGTCGCCACTTTCGTGGGCTCCTTGGAGGTGAGGCGGAGTCGGGGAGCACGCATATCCAGGCGGGACCCCGCTGCCCCCCTACTGCGCAACT